TCCAGCGGCAGGAAGGTCTCGGGCTCGCCCCGCTGCTCTTTGATGTACTGGATGCAGTCCCGGCCCGTCTTCTCCGAGTCCACGATGATGGCGTCCATGTTCTTCCCCAGAACCTTCGTCACCGCGATCTGGTACTTCTTCTGCGTGGGCTGGCACAGGTCGATCAGGCGGCCGTACTGCAAAGGGGATACGAGTTATGGGGTCAGGGATCTCAAAAATGGGATCAGGGACCCCAAAAAGGGGGAGAGGGACCCCAAAAATGGGTCAGGGGACACCATCAATAGGGTTGGGTTCTTCTGTGCAGGCTGGCACAGCGATCAGGCGGCCGTACTGCAGAGGGGGCAAAAGTTATGGGGTCAGGGACCTCAAAAATGGGATCGGGGACCCTGAAAATGGCATCAGGAACCCCAAAAACAGGGTAGGGGACATCAAAAATGGGTGTGGGAACACTAGAAATGGGGTCGAGGCATCAGAAATAGGGTCGGGTTCTTCTGCGTGGGCTGGCACAGGGAGATGAGACATTTTACTACAAAGGGGACAAAAATTATTGGGTCAGGGATACCAGAAACTGGATCAGGGACCCCAAAAATGGGGGTGAAGGGGTCCCAGAGTTCACATGCACATGACGGGGTCGGGGGCAGTTTTTGGGGTGGTTTTGTGGTGATTTGGGGGCAGTTTTGGGACAGTTTTTTTTGGCATTTTTGGGCCGATTTGGACGTGGTTTTGTGGTGATTTGGGCACAGTTTTGGGCCAGTTTTTGGGCATTTTGGGCGCAGCTTTTGTAGCGATTTGGGTGTGGTTTCGGGCCAGTTTTTGAGCACTTTTGAGCCAATTTTGGCGCAGTTTTTGTGGCAATTTGGGGGTGGGTTTTTTGGGCAGTTTAGGGTCTGTTTCAGTGCAGTTTTTGTGGCGATTTGGGGGCGGTTTTGGCCAATTTTGGTGCAGTTTTTGGGCCGATTTTGGCGCAGTTTTTGTGGCTATTTGGGTGCAGCTTTTGGGCCGATTTTTGGCGCAGTTTTTGTGGCAATTTGAGGACAGTTTTGGGCCAGTTTTTGGGCATTTTTGGGCTGATTTAGGTGCAGTTTTTGTGGCTATTTGGGCACAGTTTTGGGGCAGTTTTTGGGCATTTTTGGTCCGATTTTGGCGCAGTTTTTGTGGCAATTTGAGGACAGTTTTGGACCAGTTTTTCAGGCAGTTTTGGGCCGATTTTGGCGCAGTTTTTGTAGCGATTCGGACGTGGTTTTGGGCTGATTTTGGCACATTTTTTTGTGGCTATCTGGGCGCAGTTTTTGTGACTATTTTGGCACAGTTTTTGTGGCTATTTGAGCGCAGTTTTTGTGACTATTTTGGCACAGTTTTGGGCGTTTCCCTCACCACGGAGCCGGGGTAGAGGCGTTTGATGCTGTCCATGATCTCGGCCTTGCGCTGCTGCCGGCTGCTCTCCTGGCGGTCGATGCGCGCGTCCCCGAGCTGCTCCATCACCTGGTTCAGCTCCTTGTTGATCTCGTCGATGCGGCGCTTGGCCAGC